AGCTGAGCGGAACTATCCAGTACATGACAAGGAACTCCTTGCCATGAAGTATGCACTAGCGAAGTTCAGAGTCTATCTATTAGAGATAGACCCTTCGTTGTTTACACTGACCATGCGTCCTTACGCACGGCAGTGAACAGCCCGCACCTTTCACAACGAATGGCGCGGTGGTTGTCATTCTTTGCGGAATACAACTTTACGGTCGAGTACAAACCAGGACGACTTAATGTCGTCGCTGATGCACTCACGTCGTCCCGACTTTGAAACAGTCGCGAAACCCAACAGCGAGACAGTCACTGTTGCGGTTATGACGTCCTCAGTCCCATCTACAATGTTGTATGATGATGTGAGGCGGGCATACGCCCAAGATGGTGAGATAGTGAAGTTGTTGTCACATCTCTCCCAACCATCCCGAGAATCGTTGAAACGATTGTCGCCTGCGTATCGATCTGCATCAGATCGATACACTACTCGTAACGGTTTACTGTATTATACAGCCGTTTCTGGTGACACACCACGTGTTGTCATTCCAGATGATACTGATCTGCGTTTGCGGATCATGTTCGAGTATCACGATGCTCCTATAGGAGGACATCGTGGCCGAGAGAAAACATATCTCACGGTAAGTCGAGACTTTTACTGGCCCCGCCAGTATCAGTTTGTGCGAAAGTATGTTCGCGCATGCGAAGTCTGCCAACGAGTGAAGTCAAGTCCTTCACTGCGTGCACCTTTACAGCCTCTACCGGTTCCGGCTGAGTGCTGGGAATCCATCTCACGGATTTCGTCTTCGGGTTACCCAAAGACGCACGCGGGAATACGGGTATTCTCGTATTTGTTGACAGATTCAGCAAAATGGTACACCTTGTGGCTGTACCAGAGACAATCACGGCAAGTGGCTGTGCTTGTGTCTTTATTGACACCATCTTCCGACTTCATGGGTTGCCCCGTGAACTCGTATCAGACAGAGATCCACGATTCACTGCTGATTTCTGGCGTTCCGTGTTCAAATCACTCGGAACGCGCTTGAAGATGTCAACATCTGATCATCCAGAGTCAGATGGTCAGACGGAACGTGCCAATCGTGTCCTTGAAGAGATACTTCGAGGATACGTACACTCCTTTAAGAGTTGGAGTGAGTTTTTGCCAATGGTAGAGTTTGCCATCAACAACTCGGTGCATGCGTCCACGACACATACACCGTTTTACGTGAATGGCTTGCGCCATCCGCGTGTACCCACCTTACTAGAGTGTAACTCTGGTTCAAGGGGGGGAGGGACTCGCGCGAGCAAAAACCGATTTGTTTCACGCTCATCACGCTCTGACGAAGAAGTCATTGCGTTTGATGCCGATATCGATAACATCGATATCGAAGAATATGATGCCAGTGAGAGTGCGGAAGCCCTCACTGAAGACAATGATCCCAGTGAGAGTGCGGAAGCCCTCACTGAAGAAAAGGTTGTTGTTGCTGCAGTGCGCTCACAGCACACTGAAGCTAACGAGTCATCAGATGAGTTCATACTGGCTCCGTGAAACGGTAGTCCGTTTTGTGCAAGACTCCATCGCCGAAGCGGTGGATAAGCAAAAGCAAAACGCTGACAAGAATGGAAGGGCAAACACTCTTTTATTTAATAAAGGTGACTTAGTCCTACTGTCTACGGTTAATCTACCAAAGCATGTAGTGACTAACTTGGGTAGCAGTAAACTACTACCCAAGTACATTGGCCCATTTCGTGTATTGCACCGCCTAGGCAATGCATACACGATCGAGTTACCACGTAAGATGCGAACGCATCCCACGTTTTACGTTGGTCGGCTTAAGCCGTACCATCAGTACGCTGCTTCTTCCGATGAAGAACGCCCTTGCGCTCAAGCATCTCGCAGAGAGCCTTGTGCTCCCGATGGTGGGCATCAACAAGGGTCTGAAGAGCAGTTATCTCAGCCCGAGACCGATCAACAATCCCACGAGCTCCCTTAGCTCGTCACGAAGAGATGTCAGAGATCTCTCGTTCTCAAGCTGAGCAAAGGCAAACTCCAGCTCGATGCTTCGAGGCAGTGTCCACCATCTGGAGACGCCTATTCCGCTCATGCTCGAGATCGTCGCGTAACCCTTGCGTTACGCGATCAAAGAAGCTCTCGGGAACACACCGATCCACATGATCGTGTGGAGAGCGTCTTTCCTCCTTCCTCCACCTCCATTAGAGGACTCTCGCGGTGGCCAGCGCCATCTAGTAGAGCAGCTGTTGAACCACCGCGACGTGAACGGACGTCGGACGAGTTACCTCCGTCCGGTGGCGCGGCTTATCCCCCGTCCTGGGATTCTTGGGAGCCCCCGCTCCCAATTGATGGTTGACGTACTGGGTCTGGTCGAGCAGTACGACGACGGCACATCCTGTGCCGCAGAAGGGACCGCCGGAGAAAGTCTTCCCGGCACGGTCGTAAAGGATTTCAGGTTGTCAATCCCTTCGTACATCTCAGTAGAGACACGTACGCGCCACCACGGGCTGGTAAGGAGGTAAGCCTCCTTAGGTGCTCGTGCAGAGTTGTTCACACAACATGGGCACGAGTCTCCCCAAGAGAGGCAGGGTAATCCTTTCTCCCTTGACAGACGATGCAGCTTGTAGCGTGCACCTGTCGGGGTTCGCTTTTCAAACTTATCACGAGCTTTGATAAGTTTGTCGTTCCAAGCGTCACGACCTACATCCTCGAGGTTATGGATGTAGGCGTTCCACGCCTGAAGTAGTGAGGGACCATCACGTTTGTGATTCCCACTGTACCATCGATGTCTGAAGAAAGCATCGATGAAGAACTCATGTTCAGCGCGATAGTCTTTCGCGCTGGGGTCAAGGTGATGGATCTCTGACGAATCGAACAATCGTGTTCGATAACGATCACTCGTCGTCGCCGACAAGTGATCCATGACAGATTTTGGAGGCATCCATGCCTTCTTTTCTGGAGCGAGACGCAACACATTGCGGTCCCGCTCTTCCTGCGACGTGCCGACAGAAGTACTGGCACCTCGCTGTGAAGTGGTGTCCATTGGAGAACGACACCACTATTAGCGCCCGAGTCTCGCGACCTCGAGCGCCTTCGCTTCGGCGATGGTTCATCTGACTCATCAGATGAACCAAAGATGCTGCGACGCAAAGCATCGTCCATGCCACGCTTGGCAGGCGGCTTGGATTCAATTGCCGTCGATACGGATCCGTCATCCGTATCAGGAGAGTACGAGACACCGAGCTCGTACTCTGTGAAGACACGAGTGTCTTCATGACCAGCGCCTGCATCACCAGGTGATACAGGCTGAGTCGATTCAGCAACCGATGGGGACATCAGTTGCTGTAGTTTCTGCTTCGGCGTCCGCACAGAGACGTGCAGACGCGCTCTCGGCGGCCTTGCTCGCGCATCGCATGGGCTTGTTTACCATGCGATGAGATGTTGGAAAGTGGACGCGGACCAACAAGTGCAAACCCCGTCCCAAATGATTTGGGACGAGTATCCATTTAGTCAATCAGTCACTAAAGTGACTGATGGTTAAGGGGGTGATGTAACGGGGTGAATCGTTACATAACAATTTATAAGAAATTGTTAATAGAATATAACTATAAGAGTTATATTCTCAGAATATTGTCATAAGGACAATATTCGGTAGCACTTCCAAGTAGTTCCTAATTGGTTGATATAGGCCATTATATCAACCAACGAAGACGCGCCACGACAGACGCACGCAATGAGTGGTGAGCAGATAACTGATTTACACATTTGTATTTAGACATAGTTAGATGAAGATAAATAGTGATTTATTGCAGACATTAACTATTATAAATACAGTTCTACTTTTTACTCTAACCGAGTACTCGCTTCTTCTTACCGTCTTCCTCTGCACGTACGAGTGTACGTGAAGTTACGAGGCACCGCCTTATTCTGTTATCAGAATAAGTAGCTTGTACTGTCACCAGTACAAGCTTCAGGGTGCCCCGTTACACATCCGACTGATCTAAAACACTTGATAGTCGATCCCTGAGTTCCTTTCCCCTTGCCAAACTATCGCAAGTGCTGGCAACTGACATCGACATGACAAGTCGAAGAGCTAAAACGTAGCTTCGAATTTGGGACAAGAGACAAAAGAAGAATCATCGCTTGGCAAGTCCGTTCCCATCGTATGTTTAGCTCAGTCTGGAAGTGAAATGTAAGAAGCAACTCGAACGAGCCAAGCTATGTATGTAGCACATTGTATCACAATCGATGAACAGACATAGTGTGGTGGAGTGGTGATCGCTCGTTTTATGAGGTAATGCTAACTCTCTACTATTGCCTAGACGACCGACTAACAGAGAGAATACTCCAGTGCCGTGTAGATGCATTCCTTCCTCGCCTCGTGTACCCTTCGGAAGGGCAAATTGTACTCTTTTCGGTGTGGTCGTGCGGGAATCCTCACACGATCACGTGTAATGGGGCACCCTGAAGCTTGTACTGATGACAGTACAAGCTACTTATTCTGACGACAGAATAAGGCGGTGCCTCGGAACTTCACGTACACTCGTACGTGCAGAGGAAGACGGTAAGAAGAAGCGAGTACTTGATTAAAGTAAAAAGTAGAACTGTATTTATCATAGTTAATTTCTGTTAATAAATCACTATTTATCTTCATCTAACTATGTCTGAATACAAATGTGCATATCAATTATCTGCTCACCACTCATTGCGTGCGTCTGTCGTGGCGCGTCTTCGTTGGTTGATATAATGGCCTATACCAACCAATTAGGAACTACTCGTAAGTGCTACAGAATATTCGTCCTTATGACAATATTCTGTGAATGTAACTCTTATAGTTATATTCTATTAACAATTTCTTATAAATTGTTATGCAACGGTTCACCCCGTTACATCACCTGCCCTCAACCATCGGTCACTTTAGTGACTAATTGACTGAATGGATACTCGTCCCAAATCATTTGAGACGGGGTTTGCACTTGTTGGTCCGAGTCCACTTTCCAACAGTTCATCGCATGGTTAACAAGCCCATGCGGTGCGCGAGCAAGGCCGCCGAGAGCGCGTCCACACGTCTCTGTGCGGACGCCGAAGCAGAAACCGCAGCAACTGATGTCTCATCGGTTGCTGAAGCGACTCAGCCTGTGTCACCTGGTGATGCAGGCGCTCGTCATGAAGACACTCATGTCTTCTCAGAGTATGAGCTCGATGTCTCATACTCTCCTGATACGGAAGACGGATCCGTATCGACGGCGATCGAAACCAAGCCGCCTGCCAAGCGTGGCATGGATGATGCTATGCGTCGTAGCATCTTTGGTTCATCTGATGAATCAGATGAACCATCGCCGAAGCGAAGGCGCTCGAAGTCGCAAGACTCGGGCTCTCACAGTGGTGTCGTTCTCCTATGGACACCACTTCGCAACGAGGCGCCAGTACTTCTATCGGCACGTCGCAAGAAGAGCGGGACCGCAGTGTCTTGCGTCTCGCTCCCGAGAAGAAGGCATGGATGCCTCCCAAATCCGTCATGGATCACTTGCCGGTGACGACGAGTGATCGTTATCGAACACGGTTGTTCGATTCGTCAAGGATCTATCACCTTGACCCCAGCACGAAAAACTATCGCGCTCAAAACGAATTCTACATCGATGCTTTCTTTAAACATCGATAGTACAGTGGGAATCACAAGCGTGATGGTCCCTCACTGCTTCAAGCGTGGAACGCCTACATCCATAACCTTGAGGATGTAGGTCGTGACGTTTGGAACGACAAACTTATCAAAGCTCGTGATAAGTTCAAAAAGCAAACTCCAACAGGTGCACGCTACAAGCTGCATCGTCTGTCTAGGGAGAGTGGGTTTCCCTGTCTTTCCTGGGGAGACCCGTGCCCATGTTGTGTGAACAACTCTGCGCGCGCATCTAAGGAGGCTTACCTCCCTAATAGCCCGAGGTGGCGCGCACGTATGTCTAGTGAGATGTACGAAGGGATTGACAACCTGAAATCCCTTTACGACCGTGCCGGAAAGATTTTCTCTAGCGGTCCTTCTGCGGCACAGGATGTGCCTCGTCGTACTGCTCGACCAGACCCAGTACGTCAGCCATCAGTTGGGAGCGGGGCTCCCAAGTATCCCATGACGGGGGATAGCCGCGCCACCGGACGAGATTACTCGTCCGACGTCCGTTCACGTCGCGGTGGTTCAACAGCTGCTCAACCAATAGCGCTGGCCACCGCGAGAGTCCTCTAATGGAGGTGGAGGAGGAGGGAAAGCGCTCTCCACACAATCGTGGGGAAGCGTGTGTTCCCGAGAGCTTCTATGATCGCGTAACGCAAGGGTTACGCAACGATCTCGAAGATGAGCGGGACAGGCGTCTCCAAATGGCGGACACTGTCTCGAAGCATCGAGCTGAGTTTGCCTTTGCTCAGCTTGAGAACGAGAGAGCTCTGACGTCTCTGCGTGACGAGCTAAGGGTAGTTCGTGGGGATGTTGAGCGGTCTCGGGCTGAGATAACTGCTCTTCAGACCCTTGTCGATTCCCACCATCGGGAGCACAAGGCTATCTGCGAGATGCTTGAGCGCAAGGGCGTTATTCATCGGAAGAAGCAGCGTACTGATGGTACGGCTTAAGCCGACCACCGTAAAACGTGGGATGCATTCACATCTTACGCGGCAATTCTATCGTGTATGCATTGCCTAGGCGATACAATACACGAAATGGGCCAATGTACTTGGGTAGAAGTTTACTGCTACCCAAGTTAGTCACTACATGCTTTGGTAGATTAACCGTAGACAGTAGGACTAAGTCACCTTCATTAAATAAAAGGGTGTCTTCCTTTCCATTCTTGTCAGCGTTTTGCTTTTGCTTATCCACCGCTTCGGCGATGGAGTCTTGCACAAAACGGACTACCGTTTCACGAGCCAGTATGAACTCATCTGATGACTCGTTAGCTTCAGTGCGCTGTGAGTGCACTGCAGCAACATCAATATTTTCTTCAGTGAGGGCTTCCGCGCTCTCACTGGCATCATCTTCTTCGATATCGATGTTGTCGATATCGGCATCAAACGCAATGACCTCTTCTTCAGTGCTCGCACGAGTCCCCCCCCCCCCTTAAACCAGAGTTACACTCTAGTAGAGTGGGTACACGCGGATGGCGTAAGCAATTCACGTAAAACGGTGTACGTGTCGTGGACGCATGCACCGAGTTGTTAATGGCAAACTCTACCATGGGCAAGAACTCACTCCAACTCTTAAAGGAGTGTACGTATCCTCTAATTATCTCTTCGAGGACACGATTGGCACGTTCCGTCTGACCATCTGACTCTGGATGATCAGATGTCGACATATTCAAGCGCGTTCCGAGTGATTTGAACACGGAACGCCAGAAATCAGCAGTGAATCGTGGATCTCTGTCTGATACGAGTTCACGGGGCAACCCATGAAGTCGGAAGATGGTGTCATTAAAGACACAAGCACAGCCACTTGCCGTGATTGACTCTGGTACAGCCACAAGGTGTACCATTTTGCTGAATCTGTCAACAAATACGAGAATACCCGTATTCCCGCGTGCGTCTTTAGGTAACTCGAAAACGAAATCAATTGAGATGGATTCCCAGCACTCAGCCGGAACCGGTAGAGGCTGTAAAGGTGCACGCAGCGAAGGAATTGACTTCACTCGTTAACAGACTTCGCATGCGCGAACGTACTAGCGCACAAACTGATACTGGCGGGGCCAGCAAAAGTCTCAACTCACCGTGAGATATGTTTTCTCCCAGCCACGATGTTCTCCTATAGGAGCATCGTAATACTCGAAAATGATCCGCAAACGCAGATCAGTATCATCTGGAATGACAACACGTGGTGTGTCATCAGAAACGGCTGTATAATACAGTAAACCGTTGCGAGTAGTGTATCGATCTGATGCAGATCGATACGCAGACGATAATCGTTTCAACGATTCTCGATATGGTTGTGAGAGATATACCAACAACTTCACAATCTAAACATCTTGGGCATACGCCTGCCGCACATCATCATATAACGTTGTAGATGGTATGGTGGACGTCATATCCGCAACAGTGGCTGTCTCACTGTTGGGTTTCACGACTGGTTTAAAGTCGGGCCGACGTGAGAGTGCATCAGCGACTACATTAAGTCGTCCTGGTTTGTACTCTACCGTAAAGTTGTATTCTGCAAAGAATGACAACCACCGCGCCATTCGTTGTGAAAGGTGCGGGATGTTCAATACCGTGCGTAATGACGCATGGTCAGTGTAAAAAATGAAGGGTCTATCTCCTGATAGATAGACTCTGAACTTTGCGAGTGCATACTTCATGGCAAGGAGTTCCTTGTCATGCACTGGATAGTTTCGCTCAGCTGGTTGCAGCTGACGCGACTGATAGCAGACGACGCGTTCAACGCCTTCAAGATCGTACTACATTAATGCACAGCCGTTTGCGAAATCGCTGGCATCACAGACCACATGAAATGTCCTGTCCTGATCGTCTATTGCTAGGACTGGATCGTCTATTGCTAGGACTGGGGATTGTATCAATCTCTGCTTGATACCATCAAAGGAGCGCTGACATTCAACGTTCCATAACCACCTCTCGTTCTTTTTCAACAAACGAGAGAGGTGCACAGTCATCTCGGCGTAATTGCGTGAATACTTATGCAAATACGCCGCTAGCCCAAGGAATTTTCGAAGACCTTTGACATCGACCGGCACAGGCCAGTCGGTGATCGCCTTGATCTTTTCGGGATCAGGACGTACACCGTTCTTACCAACGATGCACCCAAGAAGTGGTATTTCGCTTGCCGCAAATATACACTTCTTGAGGTTTGCATACAATTGATGCTTTCGCATGATTGTAAGAACCTGTCGGACGTGGTACCTGTGAACCTCAACGTCCGACTTTCCATCCATAGCTCGACTATGGATGAATACGTCATCGAAATAACTCGGCGCGAATTCTCGTACTGGTCTCAACAGATGTGATACACATCTGTTGAACGTGGCAGGGGCATTACTGAGCCCTTGTGGCATTACTAGCCATTCCCAGAGCATGCCGCTAGGCGTGCTAACTACGGTATAGGGTATATCCCGTTCTCGCATAAGGATTTGATAGAAGCCATCCATCAAATCCATGGACGAAAAGATGGTACTCTTTGACATACCATCAATGATTACGTCCTTCCTCGGTATCGGCGTCTGAGCCGGTACCGTTGCAGCATTCAACTTGTTAAATGCATGCACTGTCCGCCACCCTCCTGTTGCTTTTCGCACACAGAAGGTCGGAGAACTATGTGGGGAAGTTGATTCCCTCACATGACCCGCAGCTAAACGATCGGCAAAGAACTTGTCGATCGCAAGTACTTGTTCACGAGGCAGTGGCCACTGCTTCATGACGCAGTACTTCTAGCCTGGCTTAAGTTCGACCTCGTGTCGAATACCTTTATCTTTCGGTAATTTGCACGGAACAGTTTCAGGGAATACATCCTTCAATTCAACCAAATCTTCATAGAGAGGATTTGTCTTGAGCGATTCCCACGATTGGGAGTCACATCGCTCAACTCTTGTCTTTTCATCTAGGAAACTCTCGTCCATCGATGAACTACTGAGAACTCTTTCGTTCTCTGTGAACGCTGTTGCTGACCTTATGTCGGCTACACACTCGTCGTCAGCGACGAGTACGCAGATCTGCTTGACTTTGCCACTACGCAGATCACGAAAGAACCTTTTATGTTCGAGCGTTGGCAACTGAGTGATCTCCGAAGTGAACTTCGGAGGCGCAATCAGATCAAGTGTATAAGCGCCTACACTTGATCCGTTATTGACTATGACATTCAATGTCTCTGTCATTTCCTGGGGACTTATTCCCTCAGGCTTCGAAGGACTTATTTCTTCGGCTTCCCGGGGACTTATTCCCGCGGGTTTCGGGGAACTTATTTCCGCCGTATTTGTAATCTTGGAACTTATTCCCTTTACTTCCTCTAGCTGGGGTTGCGCAACCACAGCGAGATCCTCTACGAAAGACTCTCCAGTCGATCTAGGATTATCGTTTCGCTTAACCTGAGCGATCGATCGTTTCTCTTCTAGATGTTCCCCTCTAGGGATACATCTTTGTCCCAGTCCACCCGACTTATTCGAGTGGTGGACCTTCGGCGCAGCCTGTGTTTCCTCACAGCCACCGGAACTTTGCTCCGAAGTGCAACCGTTTGGTACACTAATGTTTTGTGCAGTCGTACTAACGACCGTACCACAAGTGAGGCCATCGCACTCACTCGTAGTACATCCACACGCTTGTGGACGCTCCAAAACGTTCATCATATGGCCATCTGATGAACAAGCGGCAGGCATCGTTACTGTTCGATGTTGCCAGTTTACCCGTGGTTCGTACCTTTTGATCCACGGTATTCCAAGGATGACATCAAATTTGTCATCCAAATCCAATACGATAAAGTCATCGTCATATTGGGTATCTTCTAGCGTATAGTGGATCTTCACTATACGCTTCATGACGGTTACTGATGCGCCTGTCGCAAGACGTACCGTCATCCTCGTAGGAGGTGTGTCACATTCACTGAATTTAAAGTGACCATCTTCTAGCGATTGGCGTCACACAAAATTGTTGGACGCCTCACAATCGACTAGAGCTCGAAGGGACAACTTATTTGTCACTTCGAGTTTCAAGGTAATGAGTGAGACCTCATTACCTAGAGCAGCAACGCACAACGTTTGTGTGTTGGGAGCAACCTTCATCAAGAGGCCTACAAATTCTCTTGACGTTGCTGGATAAGTGGGGTGCTCCGCACCTACTGACCCTGTCCGTTTTTTACGGTCCATCTCGTTGTTGCTTCTTTGCACCAACAGCGGACCCTAGTCCCTGCCCCTTTCTCATGGGTGGACGGTCACTACGCCCAGTGTTGCGAGACACTGGACGAGGGGCACTACACTCGTAAGCGTAGTGTTCTGTCTTCTGACATCTGTTGCATTTCTGCAACTTCTTGTAGTCTGTAGAGCGAGCCTTCTCGCTCTAAACATAACTGAGTTCCATCGGCTCTGGACCTCCGCTGTCATATCATCTCGGTTGGCGATATGATGTCGAGCTGGCGCGAGCCTGTCTCAGACTGAAGTCTTCCTGTTCCGCAATGGAAATGGCTTGTTCTAGTGAATCTAGTTCAAGTCGGAACAGGTGAGTCTTGACGGGACCATCCGCAAGACCCTGCATGAACACCGAAACCAACGTGTGTTCATCCACTGGATTGGAACTTATACAATTCGTGAGATGTCGTATATGTTGCGCGTAAGCGTGCACATCACGCCTACCCTGCTTGAGCTTCAAGAGTTCAGTTCGAGCTCTGAACTCAGCTCTAGGCGGTTCAAACGTTTGTCTGAGCCGCGACTTCAAGACTTCCAACGACCCAAACGCATATGGGTCGTGCAACTTGAGCCGCAAAGCCCAAGTCTTGGCACGTCCTGCCATATGACTGGGCAAATGCAACTTGCATTTCCCCATTGTCGATGCGACGCGCCCTTATGGCGTCGTCTAATTCGACAAACCATCTTAAGAGGGAGTCCTCTTCGATTCCTTTATACTTATAGATTTCAATCTTCAAAGTCTCGGGT